AAAAAAAAAATTTATCAGAAGAATATTTTTTCCTATGTTTAATTTTAAACTTGTATGAAAAAAAGAAAATTTTTTTTTGATGAGAAAAGTTATTTTTTTTTAAATTTCAAACACCTGAGCTTATATTAATAATAATAATAATCGTTGTATGAAAGTTTTATGTTTGTATTATCAAAAGAAAAAAAATGATAACGGTCTTAGAGAGAGAGAGAGAGAGTTATTTAAAAATGTAAAATGTTTGTTGAAAAAAAAGTGGGGGGTTAAAAACGGATGTAAAATCGTTAATGACAAGAGTGGTAGTGGTGGAAGGTTAATGTCCTCCTCTAATCAATGAAAACCTTTAATAATCCTCTTATTGTTTCCTTTATTTTAAAAAAGGACAAACTCATGAAATAACTTTTTTATAACCAATTTTTTAATCTCTTACGGCAATTTTTCGTACAGATTGAATTTCTTTTTTTTTGTCTTTTCAACGTTTCGAATTTGTCGTTGTTGTTGTTGTTTGTTTGTTTGTTTTTGTTTTTCCACTGTAAATCCAGTTGTTAATTAATTTTGAAAACGCGTCAAACAAAAGAGAGGGAAAAAAAACAAAGCAAAAATTTCCGTTTGCGTGATTAATAAACGAAGATAACCTTTCTTCCCTTATTCATCATCCCCTCTACTACTCTCTCCCCGCAAAAAAAAACAAAAATTATTATTTTTTTTTTTTTTTGATAACAGCAAATGATATTTTATCTTGTTTTCAAATTCGTTTCCCTATTCCAATAATAATAATAATAATAATAATAATAATAATAATAATAATAATAATAATAATAATAATAATAATAATAATAATATTCACAAATTTTAATAATTTTTTTTTTTTTTTTAATTAAAAAAATAATCTACGTAAGTTAAACATTAAAAAAAAAAGAAAAGTTGACACACGCAAAAAAAAAAAAAAAATTGACTGATGAATTATTCTATCGGATTTTTTTTTTTTTTTTTTTGGTTTTGACGTTTTTACCCTGATTGAATAAAATGGGTGGGGAGTGGGGGGCGGGGACAGGAGATAAGTCGAAAAGAAGGAGGAGAGAGGGGGGGGACAGGAGATAAGTCGAAAAGAAGGAGGAGAGAGGGGGGGGCCCGGGGACTTGTAAAAAG